AACATCAGAACAATCTTCAAAAGTGGTTCAACACTTTGAAGACACCTCTTCTGAGCAAGAACACCATCCCCTGTGGGATAAGACTGAAATAATAGACAGAGGACATCACTGGAAAATATGAAAACTCAAAGATTAAGCATATATGCTAAGCCACAAAAATCTCTTGAGCCAACCAAGCATAGAAATGAATACATTATGGGAAGCATAAATAAGGAATGTTTGTGAAAAGCAATGAATAACAACAAAAAATATTGCAATATAAGCTCTGTTAAAAATAAGCAATAATAATAACAGAAAAATTGCAATATGAGCACTGCTAAAAAACGGTTAATCAGACATTAGGTTTATAAATCCCAGAAATTCATACACGTATCCTCAAAGATACATGGCCGAGTGGATAAAGATGTTGGTGACTGGACCCAAAGAGTTGTGAGTTCAATACCAGGCTCCAGCAGTGGTGAACCAAAATAAATAAATAAATAAAACAAATAAAGGGTTTGGTTCAAAATTCCAGTCACCTGAGGTGCGTACAATGGTTGAAATGTTGTGAATATGGCAATGAAGATGAGGATAATGGCCCAAATAATGTAAATAAGCATAATATCTCATCTCAGAGATATAGATAGATAAGCCACAAGTGTTTGACTGGAGGTAACTTTACTCTGAGAATGAACCTCATGTTTGGTTTGAGTAGTAATGCCACACATTTTCTTTGCTAGAATATTGTTTTTCATTCTCATAGAAATGAGCAATTAAAAGTTTTTCCTTTTTGATTAATATCTGGAGAGTCTTGAAGACCATTCCAGTAATGAAAAGTTATGAATGTACGAGATTCATGGAAGATTGAAGTTTATAAGCAGTAAATTCGACCTTGTCTACCGAAAGGTTCTTTGTGGCCGAGACGGTTAAGGCACGTCAGCGTATATGACGGTTCTGTATAGGATGCAGGTTCGAATCCTGTCAAAGAACGAATATTTTCTATGAAAATTTCTCGGACATTCAGGCCGGTAAATGTTATTTAATACTGTTTATCATAAACAGAGCATTTGCTTAAATACTTGTATCTATGAATAACAATGTTAAACATAAAAATGTCTTTTTATATATATATATATATATATATATATATATAAAATCTATTAGGTTGGTGCAAAAATAATGACGTAAAAATGTCGTTTTTTGACGTTAAAAAATACGTCAAAAAACGACATTATTACGTCATTATTTTTGCACTAACCTAATACTTCCTGCTTCTAACTTTTCTGGTTGTTGAAAATCATTTTTCTGTAGTTCCAAACTTTAAGAACTCAAGCGAATCATCTGATCCTTCTATCAACCTCTTTTAGATAAACTACTGGAGGCCCTAATCAGCTTTGAACTAGTTAATCATCTCATATCACAAGGTCTTCTTTCAGACGAACAATATGGCTTTTACTTCTATAGATCAACTGCTCAAGCTTTGGATAAGAATGGTGAAGCTTGAGATATTGCTCTGGACATCTTGAAAGTGTTTGTTAGGCTACCTCCTAATTTTTGAAACCACTACTTGGGGATGCTTTCCGGACAATAAATACTCAGCGATATCTTTTCTCAACCTCTTTTCTTGCTTTTTCTGTTTACATGTCAACATGTAAATCTCTTGTAGAAGAATGCATTCCCTTCTGGGAAATGCATGAACAATACACACATACACACATGTATGCACTTTTCATTTTATTTTTTTCTACGACTGTCTCCTACACCAAACTACACATACACAAACAATTCACTAGATTAAATGTTTTCTTTATTCATGTTCATTTTTCAGTAACACACAACAATATTCTATTTTTTATGTTTTCTTTTATTGTTAATAAATTATCATTTGTTTGTACATATATATTTGTCTGTGTTCTTTCTTTAACTTTTTTTACATGGACTCATATTCCAAGCCTGTCTTGTTGGTTGTTGACATTTCAGGAGACACACATGTTTCTCTCTCACTGCGTACCTTGGCCCGCAACAGTATGTTGAACAGGGTTTGGTATACTGGTCTTTCTCAAAAGTTGCAAAGGTACCACTGAACCCCCTGGCCTTAGATAAGAATGGTAAATCCCAGGATATTGCTTTCGCATCCTGTAACCCATAGTGGCTGAGTGGCTAGAAGATAAATAGAATGAGTTATCAGGAAGGTGACATATTCTTGGTGTGAGGAGGCAATCACCGCATATGGTGCCTTTGGAAAGTGCCTGAAAACCATACCATGGATTGATCCAAACTTTGTGAGTTCTTTTGGGTAGATGGAACTATTTAGAAACTGTCGATGGTTGTGCTAGCACAAAGTCACAAGTCATCGTGACTGAGGGTTTTGACAGACTGACCTTGTTCAGATTGTTCACGCCAGACAATTCACTCTCTCCCAGAAACGGTAACTAAGATCTGCTCAGTATAGTTGCAGTATACACTACGGGTGGGATTCTGTGTTGTGGGTATTTCACGAGACACACGTATTTATCTCTCAATGCATACATCGGCCCACAACCGTGTTCAACAGGGTTTAGTATATTGGTCTTCATCACAAGTTGAAAAGGTACCCCTGAACCTCCTGACAGGGTGGCCCAAGCCTGATTGAGGACCCTTGCTATCTTATCAACATTTTCTTCTTTTTACTTACATTCATATACGTTACAAATTAAAGTAAGCACATCTGACTCTTATTAAAGAATGAAACATTTTTGTAGATTTTGACGTCATTCTGGGGTCTTTTTTTCTTCCAAATCTGTGTATTTGTTTTGATCATTCAAAATCTTGAAAAATCAAAATATAAGATTCACTATATTTTATCCATAATTTTGAATGGGTTAAAATTATTCAACTTTTTAACAAGAAAAATCTCAAGTTGATGTTAAAAATTACTGCAAAACATTGTTGATTTATTTAAGATGGAATGATCTAGTATGACAGGTCTCTAATTTGTATTTAGATACATTGTATTTATTTTCAATTGTTCTAGTTCATTTGTTCAGCTTTATTGCATATGATATGTTATCGTACATAATTAAGTTGAAACAAAATTTGTATTTTATATTGAGACACAGTAGAGTGAGGTGTGGGGTGTATCATAGATTTGGGAGTGAGTACAAGACCATTACAATGGCCCTGCTTGTAAGTAAAGTTGGTTAATTATTTCAATGAATGATCCAAATTCTAGCACATTCATTAAGTTTATCAAATATAGGTTTACATTAATAATATTCTTAAGGCTAATTGTAAGTAAAGGTAAAACTATGGAAGCTGCTAAGTGATATAATTTAATGCCTAATAAATGAAAGTGAGTAAATGTTGTTGCTGAATTTTTATTGATTGTATATCTTTATTTATTTTTATGTAACAATTATTTATTATTTTATTCTAATTTAATAAATTGTTTATGTAAATATTTATTTCAAATAATAGAAAGACTTGAGTTAAAATTTTTCTGTTAATTTTAAATTTTTTTATAATCTTGTATGTTGATGTGGAAAGAAAGATATCTATCTATCTATCTATCTATATATATATATATATATATATATATATATATATATATATATATATATACACAGATAGATAGATAATGACCATAGATAGATAGAGAGATATGACCAGAGATAGATAGATATGAACAAAGACAGACAGATAGATTGATAGATATGAACAAAGACAGATATGAACAGATAGACAGAGATATATAGAATGATATATATATATATATATATATATATATATATATATATATATATATATATATCCATCCATACTATATATACATATATATCATTCATACTATATATATATATATATATATATATATATATATATAAAAGAGAGAGAGAGAGAGATAGATAGATAGATAGATAGATGTGAAGTGAACAAAAGATAGATAGATGTGAAGTGAACAAAGATAGATAGATAGATATGAACAAAGACAGATATGAACAGATAGACAGAGATATATAGTAAGAACAGATATATATATATATATATATATATATATATATATATATATATATATATATAGATAGATAGATAGATAGATGAATAGATAGATAGATAGATAGATAGATAGATAGATAGATAGATAGATAGATAGATGCATGAATAGATAGATAGATAGATAGATAGATAGATAGATAGATAGATAGATAGATGATAGATTGAAGTGAACAAAGATAGATAGATATGAAGAGACTTAAATTAAGTTGATTGATTTTAAAACATGCCAACCGTCGTGTGGTTATTCACTGATAAATTTTGTATGGGGTACCAAGTGAGGATTAAATTACTAACTCAGTAGTAATGGTCAACCAGACTAAGCTCGTTAACCTTTACGTGACAAGTATAGACTTATCAACTAAGTAATGGACTCACTGCGGTAGTAATGGTCTGCGAGATTAGATCGGCCTTGTGAAGCAGCTATATGTTAGTGTGACACAAGGCCTCAAGTGCTGAGCACCCAGCAAAGGTCAAATTCATTAGCGGAAACGCATTCGTTTGGGAAGTGTGAGAGTTATCTCCCTTGTCTCTTTAGGAAATCAAAATCACTTTCCAGGCTGACAGGTACTTTATCGTTTCTTGGTTCCCCCGCTTCTAGCAGGAGGCAATTTCCTTTTTTTTTTTTTTTTATCAGTCCGACCCATTACTGAGTTGATGTCAGTTTTGAAGCCGGTGGCAACACTCGGGCTATGTTCCATGTTTTTTATATAAGCAGACTCCACAAGAAGAAGCATAAAAACCTTTTTTTTCTTAAAAAAAGAAAGAAAAAAAAGTACCAAATTTCCGACTTTTTGGATATTAATTTGGAAAATTCCTTTCCTTCGGATAATTAAATCCATTTCATGGACAGACGTGTGGAAATTTATCTCTCTTGTGTCTTTTGGTGAAGCAATGTGTGTATTTTAGAAGTATTTTAATTTATGATTTTAAATTAAACCAACTTTGACAAAGACAAGAAAACAATTGCAATTCATTTTAAAACTTCAATGGGCGAACATCTTCCAAATACATTGACGATAAAAACAAAGGTAAGTAAAAAAAAAAAAAGATAAGAAAACCTTATTTGAACTTTGTTTTTAATTCTTTGTCGAGGGATATTTCCGACCTAAAGACTAAAAAGGCGAACATATTTTTTAAAAAGATTTATTAGAAATGATAATTAAGATAAAAAAAAAACAAACTTTCGTAATATTTTTAAAAAATATATTTTCTTTTTTTAGTAAAAATTGCTAAAAAAATAAAAAATAGAAAAGGCATTTTTAATACAGGTAATAAATCCGTTGGTAAAATCCAAGTGGATCCTAAATATCAAATAAAAAAAAAACTGATCCACAAAAAAGAGCTCAATAACAGAGCATAAATTATACATCTATATAATTATAAATTATACACTTTTATTACCTGTACGGATTTTCGTCTTTTTTATAATTACTTTTTTTTACCTTTCCAGTTGAAGTCTAATTACGCTGTAACAGTTTAATTAGCATTGTTGTCTAATGATCGTATTTTATTTTCTATGCAAAGTTCATTTTAAAAATATTTAAAATATTTCTTGATTTAAAAATTGAAGAAGAGAAGAATATTTAAAAAAAAAAAAAATTCTGGATGGCTGAGCAAAATCAATCGTCACTCAAATTGAAAAATTGAAGCAACATAATCTTCCTATTCTATCTCCAATGCTCTTCTGTATTGGAAAAAAAAATTCTGAAAATTAAAACTGGCGAGCAAGCTTTTATCACCTAGATGATTGGCGCTCCACAATCTTCCTTCGGACCCTAATTTCTTTTCTTATTGTTATTAGAAATTGAATTTACCCATAATAAAAAAATAAAAATTGAGGAAAAAAAAAAAAATTTTTTTGACAATCTTTGTTTTTTTTTTTTTTTTTTTTTTAAATTTTTTACCAAAAGTTTGTCTTTTTTTAAAATAAAAAAAATTAATATCATTTTTTTGTTGGAGGTTTCAGAAAAAAAAATGAAAAAAAAACTTAAAGATTAATTAAAAAGAAAAAAATTTCTTTTTCCTTTTGCAAAGGCTAAAAAAGGATCCTACATGGGAATAAAATAGGGTGCTTAGTCATGTGAATTTTGTTGTAAATCGTACTGTCGACAAGTCAGAAAACAAACCCTTCCCACCCCCAACTTCGACAACAAGTTCTTTTCATATTCATAAAAAAAAAACTCGTTAAATTGTAATTTAATTATTTATTTATGAATGTTTATTTTTATTAAAAAATCTTGTGTAGGTGCAGAAATAAATTTCAAATGTATATATCTCCACAAAAAGATTACTTTGCGGGTCTTCCTCGGGTGGAAACAACTGAATTTATAAATTATAATTTTTATTTGTAATTTATTTTAATTTTATTATAAATTTTTTATATCATAAAATTACTTGTTACAAAATAAAATCCTTGCATTTGCCCTGAAAAAGTCCCACAAACGACTAAACGCGTCGGCTAAGATAAGTTTTTTTTTTTTTTTTTTGTCTTTTTCATTCATTTAATTTAATTATTAATTTTAATTTTTTTTTTATAAATTAATTTACTTATTTATTTATGAGATTTTGAAACTTTCAGTAAAGCACAAACTTTAAGATTTTGTTTTTTTATTTTAGTTTTAATTTTCTTTATAAAATACTCTGATAATTAATGTAAAAAAAATAATTAAATAAATTAGTCTTCTACTCTTCTTGCAAAAAAAATAGTTGCATTTTTTAAGGGTGGGAGCTGATGAGTTTTTTATTTTATTTTATTTTTAAACACATTGAAATAAATATTCAAAGTCAAACACATTTTTAATTTTATTTATCGTTTTTTTTATTTTTTAAAATGCTGACACCATCAACATTTTTATAATTAAATGGACTTTTTTTTTTAATAGCATTTCTTTGTTTGTAACCTTTTTTGTCTTTTTTTTGGGTGGGGGGTGATTTGAATGAATCTTCCCGACTTAATAATAATATTTTAAAAATTTAAATAAAATAAGTTTGAAAAAAAAAAAAAAAAATAGTACTCAAATTTTCCAAATTTTTTACTAATAATTCGATAAAAATATTTTTTTTTTACTATATTTTCGATTTTTTTTTTTTTACCAAAAATTTAAAAATTAAAAAAAAAATTCGTTAAAAAATGAGATCTGAAAAAAAAAACCATAATCTCCGAATTCATTTAAAAAAAAAAAAAAACAATAAAAATTCAACATCAAGTAATTAAAATAATAATCTGAATTTATTTGGAATTCAATCGAAAAAAATAATTCATTAATAAAATTAAAAAAGAAAGAAAAGAAAATGTACTGGTTGACCCTGTGGTTTAGTTCTGAAAGTTAAAAATAAAATGTTTGTTTTCCATAAAATACCTTTCTTGCAAATTTAAAATTTTATTTATCCTAAAAAGACATAAATTATAATAATATTTATCTGGTTTTTTAAAAATTTCAACTTGTTTTATAATTGTTTGCTCCGTAAATTCAAAAATTCGTTCAGTTTTTTTTTCTCTTTGGCGGCTCATTATTAAAAAAAAAATAAACCTAAATTTTCATATTTTTTTTTTTTACTATTAAAATTTAATTTAGTTTAAATTTCTGATCACAAATAAACAATTTTTAGATGTTTATTTAAAAAAAAAAAAAAACATCTCATTTTAACAGATTTATTTACCGAAATGACACAAAAATTTGAAAAAGAGTAAAAATTTGTTCAATAAAATCGCCATTGGCTTCAAGCATGGCCTCCAGACAACTTCAGAATCTCCTGCAACTTTTCTGGACGGTCTCCTTGTTTAAGTTAGTGAATGCTTCCAATAATCCTTGCCTTCAGTTCATCTTTGGTGTTTTAACAAAAAGTTTTGTTGATCTATTGCTTAATTGTGCCCCACACATTATAATGAAGGGTGTTGCAGTCTGGGGAGATAGGTGGCCAGATGTAAGGGGTGATGTGATGGCAGATATTGTCTGAAAGTTATGACTGTGTTCTCTTGTTTGTGTGGCATGATGCAGAGTCCTGTTGCCAGACATAGGGCCTTCCAGCAGCCACTCTCTTAACCCAGGGTAGCACTAACTCCTCAAGGTACTTTATGTCGGCATCCATGTTGAGTTTAAGGCCTTCACCAAGAAATTTGGGAATTCTTTTCTTATCAGAGTGAGTTTTCTGAGCTGCCATACCTTTTGTAATAACCATTAGACTCCTCCAACTTTTTCTAAATCCTCTGTACTGTCCTCATATTGACACACAAACACTCTGAAATGTTCATATTGGAACTTCCAGTGTGAATGCCAAACAGCATACTGTTTCCAAATTTCTGGTGGAGTGAATTGTGTCATGGTGCTCTTTTTCTCACAGACAGTGCCTAACTGATCTTACCATACTGTGCTGTTGACAAAATCGGAAACAAACAATGCACATGTGTGAAATTAAGAATATCAAATGGCAAGAATTTACTTGTTGCATCCTGTAGATTTTAGATTATTATTAGAAAGACTCATGAAAAATGAATGATTTTCCAATTTAAAGTTTTTTGATGAATCTTAAATTAATATTTAATAAGAATAGTGGACAGTGAAGATATCCATATAAATCTTATCACCTTGTTAAATATTTGAACTTAGCAATTTTAACAAAATATTGCAATAAAAATCACAAATATAAATGCTGGATGTTATTTTAAGAAGTAAGGGGGTACAAATGAAAAGATTTGTAATTGACAACTTTTTCATTTCACTGAAACAGACGTTAAACACTTCTTTCTCCCCTTTTCTCTTTCTTTCTCCCCTTTTCTCTTTCTTCCCTTTTCTTCTCTTTCTTCCCCCCTCCCTCCCTCACTGAAACCAAGTAGTGATTTTCTTTTTTTCCTTCTTTACATATGATCAAAACTGAATAGTCCATTATTTATGAGGTAATGGCAGAGCATAATGGTTGGGCCCACTAAGAGGGTGGACAAACAGAATTATAAGATTATTATTATCATAATCATAAACTATGTTAATAATAATCATAATGTTTTTCTATTTTATGAGCTACCGCTAAGTTTCAAGCATAAACCCCAAGAGACCACAAGTCAACAGATCTTCATTTATTGGTACAATTCATTGGATATGTAGCTGATTTTTTCATCCCAAGCAAGGCATTAAAGCCACTAAGACGCAGGAGGTTCTTTCTTTCTTTTTATGTGCCATGTCCTTTCAGGATGTAGGCAATCATGGCTCTCCACCTCCCTCTATTTCTTGCAACTCTCAACAAGTTCCTCCTTTCTGCAGTACTGATAACAGACACAAAAAAGAAATTCTGGGAAGCATCTTAACACAGAATGGTAAGTGCAACACTGAGATCCGTAGACGTATTGGGATGACCAAGGATGCATTCCAAAAGCCAGGCAGAGTATTGCAAGACAGGAGGATTTCTTTGGTAACAAAGAAAAGAACACAGAGCTGTACTTTACAGCAGCAAATGTTGGATGATTTCCTCAAAGATGAAGAAGAGACTCAGTGATGGAGATGTGGTTCTACAGAAGGATGCTGATGATATCATAGACTGAGTGTGTGAGCAATGATGAAGTCTTAAAGTGGATGCAAACAAGGAGGAGGCTTATACTTAACATCAGGAAAAGGCAGCTGAAGTTAATGGGACACATAATGAGGAAAGAAGGCCTGGAGAATTTGATACTCAGGGGTTGAATAGAGGGAAAGAGAGACAAGGGAAAACAACGCGTGACATACCTGGCGGACTTAAGCAAGTGGATGACAGAACGTGGTCTGAGGGGGAAAGAATACTGAACTGTTACATGATATCTGTCCTTGTAGCTAATCAGTATTTCATTGATTGATTGATTGATTCGTTTTCTACAGCGTATCAACAACCAAGAAATTATAAGTGGATATAAGTTGGGGGATCAATTCTACATTACAACCACTATATAAACTGATCCCTCACTTTGTGTCCACCGTAGTTTCTATCCATTTCTATTCCAGAGAATGTAAATAAATCTAAAAGACATCTCTTTGTATCTAATCAGTATTTCTTTTAGTTGAAT